CCTAGCAATTCTTCTCAGGTGTAACCCTTATGAAAAACATGCATATCTGCCCAAGGATTTCATAACTGCAATTGCATCTAATAGTAAAGAAAAAAAAATTAGAATCCACCTAAATATCTTTCAGCCAGGGAGGATAGCTAAAACATCTGGGATATATCTGGCCTATGGAATCCAAAGTAGTAATTAGAAAAGCAAAAAGAAAAACAAAAGACGAAAACAAACAAACGCAGACAGGCCTGACTCAGAAAGACCTTCAGGGCATATGTTTGGTAAAAAAAGAAAAAAAAAGCAAGTTGCATTCCCAAAGAAAATATAAAGTATTGGGCTGTTTGTGTATTTATTTGTACATTAGGTTTTACATAAATCGTGTCATTCTACATATGTGAGCAAATATGTGTGGGTTAGCCGCTGCTTTGCATCACCCATACCAAACATGCTCTCCATTAGGGTCACTGAATGAGTCATATGCTTATTTACTTATTCTTCTTTTTCATCAAATACTTATCACATATTTGTTGAATACCTTTTATATGTCATGTCTTATACTGAGACCTAAAAATGTGGTCTATGATCTCCTTGTGTTTGTTTTATGTTATAGGAGTCAAACCACTGCCTTAGGATGGCAATAGTTTTCAACCAGGATGGGTATTATAAAAGAGGGAAGCAGAAAGGAAGATAAAACCAGACCGCAGGGAGAAGTCGCCTGCTCGGGAGGGCCTCAGAAGACTTCACAGAGTAGATGACCGCATGCCTTAGCCTTTGCAGGAATAGCTCTTTGCCAACACAAGAAGTGCAGGAAGAACGTTCACAAGGAGGAATAGAGGATTCACTGGAACACTGGCATGGATGGACCCAGCACGGGTGGGGAAATGTGAATATCCCAATGTGTGTGATGGGCATACATTTAAACATTTCCATTTTACACTCCAGAGAAGAGAAAGCCAGGAAGACAAGAAACATCATTAGACACTTGTTTCTAGAAAGATAACTAGATAATTGGGAAGGCAGAGCTGTCAGAGGAAAGTAGGATACTGGCAAAGACATTGCAAGAATCCCAGTGAAAGAGAATGGCAGGGTCCTAGAATTAAAGAAGAGGACACTGATGTGATAGAGATTTCAGAATTTTCAGGACGAACTTGAAAAAATGTTGGCGTCTAATTTGAGGGCAGGTCTCAAGTTATTGCTCAATCATTTTTTTTGTGTGTGTGTGAGTCCATTCAATCACTTTCTTTTTTTATCCCAGTTTCTCTGGAGGCGGTGGTATCCAATAGATAAAGAAAGAATGGGTAACGGGTGGGCCAGAAATCTCTTCTTGGTGACTAATGGTTTCGCAGACCTTCATCTGAAGGGCACAGCTGTAGATACTGGCAGTTAGGGAGGGATGATGCAAATGGGTAAATGCCAACTTGACCAAGGCTCCCTTCCAGACGCCCTGGGGAGCCCCGGGGTCTCTAATCCCCACTCTGATGACATCCAGGGAATAGACTCCCACAAAGAGATGCCTTCAGCCACAGGATGGGGACTCCTGTAATTGGTTACTTTTGGCATCCAAGGTCTCACCACAAGTTGGCAGAGGCCAGTCACACACAGAGAAAGACGTGTCTGTAGGCATGACCCTCTCCAAAGCCATGGTCTCCAAGTGGGTGGTGGTGACGCAGGGTGGGGGAGCTGTGTGAGCTCTGCAGTCCCCAGGAGTGAGCCTGGACAGGGGCTGAGGTTTGGTTTGTATTAACACCCGCCTTTGGCTACCGTGGCTACTTTGCTAAACCTCAGCAGCATGAATTATAAGGCTGGACATGTTACCAGGAAAGACCTCCTGGGGAACAGAGCTTTCCATTCCTTGCCTGGCCGCATGGACCCTGAGCGTTACACTCTGGCTCTCCTGTGTGTGTGCAGTCCCAACTTCTGGCCCACAGTAGGCCCGGATGACAGGCACACCATCAAAAAGACATTCTTTATTAATGCCTGGAGAATCAGCTACATTTTTTTACAGCTTCTCAATAAAGTTAAACATTTATATTAAAAAGTCAGTTATTGGTGTTGTCATTTTTTTTTTTAAATCCCAATCACCTTACTCCCCCTCCGGCTATCATTCTTGCAGGGGAAGGGGGAGGGCAGCTCTTACACAAAAAGCAGACCCATCTGTGTGTCTGTGTGGTGTCTCTACACAGACATGTGCGCTGTGCACACCAGCACATGACCGGCTCACTCAGAGTGGTTCCACCTACAGCTGAGGAGCAGGGAGACACGCCCAGGGAGAACTCACATCCCCCCACCTCCTTCATCCTTTGCAGTCAAACACCCTGACACAAAGCTGACTTCACTTTTTCTTTTCTTTCTCCTCCTTACTCCTTCCACTCTTTGCCCTCTGGGTCTTGCTTTTCTTTGACTTTCCTCTTTTTCTCCTTCTTTCCTGTTTGTTTTTCCCCCTCGTCTCAGACTGATGATAGATACTGAAAGATTAAGGCTTGGGTGACTAGTTCACTGATTTCCTGTTTACCAGTGTGTGGAATTTGTGAGTGAAACAGACTGTGTATGTGTGTATGTATATAAGAGTGTGAGTGCTTGTGAGAGTGATGCTAGGCATTTTGTGCTGTTGTACTTCACGTACGGAGACTGGTGGGGAAGCTTGGGATGCTTAAGAATTTGGCCCTGGGAGAAAGAGAAAGCATCTTGGTTTCCTAGGGCACCGCTGCTGAGTTTGGGGAAAGGCTAACCCAGACCAGAGTCTCTGAAGAAGGGAGTGGAGGGCTGTCCTGTTTTGTGTTAAGAAACAACTGAACATGTGCAGGAAGAAAGGGTGGCTGGCCACGTGAAGAAGAAGGGAGTCCAACATGGGACAGTGGACTGAAGCATGAGACAAAGAGACAGCCACTGAGCAATTTCCTGATCCGGGACCAGCCGATGGAATTTTAATGGAGGGACCTGCTCAATTGGTTCCTGGGATGTCTTACCATGAAGCTACCTTGTTTCTTGCTTAACTTCAAACTCCCCAGTGCACTGAGTATGCAAAACTGGCTGAGGACAGTGGTATGTGGGGAAAGTCAAGGCAAAGGGATGCGTTTTCAAGTCTTATATTGGGCAGGGAAAAGAGAACACTCACATGAGACCTAAATAAAATAAAGTGCAGCAAGAGCAGGGACTTGGAGAAAGAAGTGACTATGAGAAGCATACATTCCTTTAGAAAACCCAATTGTTTGAGGAGAAAGGTCCTCACCTCTCTTGTGAGATAGGGCAGGGAGAAAAATTTACGTAGATATTCGTCAAAAACATGTCCTCATGAGGCTGAAGGACATGGTTTTCTGTTTGTCATGTGTGACCCACTAGGATATGGGGGTGAGCTGAGCTTTCCACAAGGTCCTGACTAGTTGAAAAGGACCCCAAAAACATATGGAAAATATGGAGAATAGGGTATAAGTAATAAAAATAAAAATAAAATAAATAAAATAAATTGGGAATGCCAGTTTCTGGTAATGATTTGTTTTCACAGTAACTGAGAACTCCCTTAACCCTGCGATTAATCACACATTTATGGCGAGGGTAAGCTGGGAGAATTACGGGGCTCCTTGGGACTTGGGTTATTAGTGCAGCTGCTTTTCATTGATGAGATCTGAGTTCAAATCTCCACCAACGTTACAAATGAAAATGTCATTCTGAAAGTTAATTAGCTCCATGCAATAAATACTGGCTAGTTGATTGATGTACCCAAAAAATCACTACCCAGAAAAAAAATTATATATATGACCCGTTAGGAGAGTCAAGCCAGTCAAAAAGTCAGACATTATTTAAACAATTTGCTTTTCTTAATAGTCCAACCACCTGCAGGTAAATAGAACTTATTAAAAGAAGGTGGAGTTTGTAGGAGTCGGAGCATGTGAAAGAATGTCTGAATGTATTAACTGTAGAATTTTAGAACTAGAAAAAAAATCTTTAAAGCCATCTAATCTAATCCATGCCTTTTTATAAATAGAAGAGGGAATAGAAACGTGGGAAGTTAAGCTAAATGACTAGCTTAAGTCACACAGTTAACTAGCAGGGGAGCATGGTTGGCTTCCAGGTGTCCTGGCCATTACACGTTTCCTGGGTCATTCCCATGGACTCAGTTTGGTTGTCCCCTCAGGGCCCTAGTGCTTCTTCTCTCTCCATGGCTCATCCATTTATCCAGAGGACCTTTTCTTTGGTGTGTTCTGTGCTTCAGAAGGTTCTGCCTTCTTCTTTTAAGACAACTCAAAACTTAATTTTTTGCTTTTTGTAAAAATGCAAATGCTTCCATCAATGCTCACGCGGGTAGAAGAAAATCAGCAATACACAAAACTATGATCCCTTTACAGTAGATGTCCTAAAATTACATTCAGAGTGAATTTAGCCAAAATTAGAGAACTGTGAGCTATTACGTTGAGTAAGAGAGCAGACAGCTACACTGCCTAAACCAATGTTCTATAAAGAAATCTGTCTGGCCTGCCTGCTGTGGCTCAGAGATTGAGCGTGTCGATTCATGAACCAGGAGGTCACAGTTTGATTCCCAGTCAGGGCACATGCCTGGGTTGCGACCTCAATCCCCAGTGGGGAGCGTGCAGGATGTAAAAGAGTAATATCATTTTAGTTTTCAATGTCAATATTTAAAATATTGCAACTACTTAAAGTTAATAAATGATCCTATATAATAAAAGGGTAATATGCAATTGACTGAATGGCGGAATGACCAGTTGCTGTGATGCGCACTGACCACCAGGGGGCAGATGCTTAATGCAGGAGCTTCCCCCGGTGGTCAGTGTGCTCACACAGGGGGAGTGCCACTCAGCCAGAAGCCAGGCTGATGGCTGGCGAGCGCAGAGGCCGTGGGGGAGGCCAAGCTGAGGAGCCCCCCCTCCCCCCAGTACACGAATGTTGTGCACTGGGCTTCTAGTATATCAATAAGAAAAAATAGAAGAGAGACCAACAGAAAACAGGCAAAGGATATAAGTAGACAATTTATAAGGATACTAAATGTAGACAGGTCAACCTCATAAAATGCTAATTAAAATGTCCTATATATCATGGGGAAGTAAAGTACAACATAGGGAAAGAACCTAATAAAGTTACACTTGAAGAATAGACGCTGCTGACAGGTGACAGGCAGGCCGCAGGTTTTAGGTGCAATCCCCCTGGAAGGTAGGTGGGGCCGGGAGTCACGCTGCTTCCTCTTTGCTTCTTCTCCGCCTCAGGTTCACTGCATCAGCACTGAGTTCACTCCTCGGAAAAAGGGTGGAGAGAAAGGCGTCCCCTTCCGCCTCCAGATTGACACTTTCAAGCCCAGTGACAAGGGGCTTCCACCTGAACACCTACATTCGGCCGGCTGCCTCATCAAGGTGTTCAAGGTGCAGGCAGCACCGGGCCCCTTCCCCTCCCTCTCAGGGCTTGTCACCCTGCCTCACTGGCTGTGTGGATTCTGGCCCTGCTTTGCTGTGGATCCTCAGCCTGCGGTCCCCGCTCTGGGTCTCTTTCCTTCTCTGTGCACAGAGGGATGGGGCAGGATGTCTTTCTTAGAGCCCTTCTGTGAAGAGAAGTGTGCAGGTGAGGAGGGGCCTCTGAGATTTCCATGTCTCCCTCCTGTAGCCCAAAGGAGCTGACCGGAAACTGAAAACCGACCGGGAGAAGGTTGAGAAACAGCCCCTGCACGAGAGAGACAAGTATCAGGCTGCCTGTGAGAGCACGGTCTTCGTGGAGGTGCGTGTTGGGGGGGGGCAGGGTTGGAGAAAAGGTCCTCATTTACACCTGGGAAACTGAGGACTCAAGGGCTGTGCCTGCTTCAGGACGATCACAGCCCCCCGGGATTCCACCCGTTTCCTGCAAAGACCAACTTCAAGACTCCCTGGAGCGGCCACCTTCCAGGCCGCCTCTCCTGCGCCTGCCATCGCTGCCACCTCACTGCTGCTCCCTCTGCCCAGAGCAGCTGCTTCCCTGCTGCTGCTTCTGCCAGCTCCGCCGGAAGCCTGCCCAACCTCCCCAGGCAGCCCTGCAGGCTAGTTTGCTCTCTTGCTTAGTGTGGAAACTAGATCTGCTTGTCAGCTAATTTTGTAGATGCCAACATTTTAAAAAAGTGTTTTTATTGATATTAGAGAGAGAGGAAGGAGAGGGAGAGACAGCAATATTGTTATATAAATTAATGACTACATTAAATAAATGCCTCCTAAAGTCAACAGGACAAATCTTTGATATACTGGTATATTGATTCAGAAGAGAGAAAACTAGGTCAATAAAATAGATTGCCAGTGATGTTACTTTTTCCCCCTCAATCATTACTGTCAATATATATAGAATGATGATTCTGTATATCTATTTATAAAACTCTATTCCTTCAAGTCTTTTATTATTTCAATTTCTTGTGAGTCATTTTTGTGTAATCATGTCATCTGCAAATAATCATGCTTTTGCATCCTCCTTTTACATATTTGTACCTTTTGGCTAGCTATTTACTGGTAACATCAAGAGGGTGTTAAATAATCACTTTCTTGTCCCCAACTTTCATGGACATTTCTCTAGCCAATCTGGACCATGTTAGTTATTTTTGGGGGATATATATCATTCTTCAGGTTAAGTAACTATGCATGCTTACATTCTTAAAAATCAATATATCATGTTGAATTTCTTCAAAAATTTTTAGGTATAGTTCAAGATTACTTTTTAGGTTTTTTTGTTTGTTTGTTTTTAACCTATGCCTTTGAACACCTTAACAAATAACCTAACCTTAAAACCATCTTTATGTTTTGGGAATAAATCCTTACTGCTGTATACACGTTTTAAAGCAGTTACAGTCACATCAGCTCTATGCATTTTTATAACTTAAAATTTCATTTGGGAGTGATTCTATGCCCTTATGAAAGTCTTGGAAGGAAAATACTACCTTTCTATATGGGCAAACCTTTACTATTGTATCTTTTAAATTCAGTCCCCATTCACAAAACACATTCTAATCCCCCCCGCCATTTACTTCCCTGTAGATCCTATTCTATTATAGTAAACTTTAGGAGATTGCTCAAATTTTATATTTGTGTTAACATCAATTCTTTAAATGGTAATTTTAAAAATTCTTTTTTTTAAAAGTAGTTTCAGAGCCAATGAACACTTACTGAGAAAGACTCCTCCAGGTTTTGTTAGACATTTTCACTCATAATTTAAGTTATTGGACAATTCAGTTTTTATGTGAAGTGTTTTCTTTCACTGGGAAGATGCTGTCCCTTCTGGAGAATAATCGCCTCCCTCAAATTCTGCATGTTGCCAACAACATGTGACAGGGAGATTTTTTTTTTAATTGTTGAGGTGTTACTAACAACAGTACTCCTTTGAAAAATGCACTAAGTTGTCCAGCTATGATCATTGGACAATCCTAGAAGTCTGTACCCTGAAAGAAATAAGACTACGCTTAAAAGAAAGTAGGATGATAATTCTGAGTACTTGAAACTGTAGATTTCTACAGGATGAATGCTGTCTAATATCGGGCAAATTGTCTAGATAGCTTGTCTCTCTTATTCAAATTCCTGATCAAGACACATTTCCTGAGCAATTTCTTTCTGCTCAGTTTAGCCCCGTGGCATTACATATCATCAGGCCCACGAACTGAAAAACTATTCCGTCCGATCTTAAATACGCCTCCAATCTATGGAGTCCTCCCCATGCCCAGTGCTGCTGCATGGGTTCAGGCTGCCTCATTTTCCCCTCGGATTACTGTAATTGCCTCTATTCTGCCTTAACTGCTTCAAGTCTTGTCCTTTTCCCTCTACCCCTTACAATTTATTTTCTACATTGCCTGAATAATCTTTCTTAAATGCATGCCTGAGCATGTTATCCCCTGCTTAAAATCCTTCAATTACACTCAATTGCATTCATAATACAATCCAAACTCTTTAGCAACAGTCGCTATAAATCCTTTCTGGAATACTG